CTCTAATAGTTAACGTGCAAACAGTTTTTTTCATCTTTTTTTAACTAAGAGATTGTATTGCAGCTTAAGCAAAACAAATCATAGGTTTAAAAAGTTATAAATGTCAATTATTTGGATTTTAAAGTTTTGTATTTATAACTGAAATGTATGTAATAAAAGCTAGACAACTGTAAAGCTTGAGGTGTCCCGCATATATAAACTATCTAAAAACTTTTAAAAATACGATACATAATTTACAATGTCAGTTGTCTTGCACATTTCAAAAATACATAAATGTAAAGATGGAGGGAAAAAACTGTTTCCACAACCCCAGTCCTCCAGAAGGCAGAAGCAAATGGTCCAAATGAAGGATGTGTGACAAGTCCAACAAAACGTTCTGTGCCTGTTGGAGTACACACTGCTCATAAATGTCCTGGAGGAAAAGGGTTTTTCAGCCCCCCATCACCTTTATGGCTGACTGTACCAAACACAGCAGCTTGGATTTGATATTTTTAGAAACATTTCCATACCTGGCTGGAAAATACTAGAAACTAATTTCATACTTTCTCAAAACTATATGAATCATTTTATTCTGTTCTAGACTGAAAAATACAGTTTGCAGTCAAATAAAATAAAAAAGTCAACTTCAGAAAAAGTCCTAAACTTTTTACCTGTACTGATTTATACACTGAAGGCTGAAATTTCAACTATAATTCTGGTTGTATTTCATCTATTTATACAATCCGTTGGTTTCATATCGCATCATGTTTGTTGAATATTCTGAAGAACTGAGCTTCTCTCCCAGCAGAGACACAACCGTTCTTCAGTTAATGTTCCTGAACAGAAGCTCTGAGTGTTTAAACTGATTCTAAAAATAAACAAAATCAGCCCTTCCAACGCTGGCACAAAAAAAAACTTGGCCAATTTAAGTCACAAAAAGTGCTGTTTACAAAGAGAATGAGTTCCAGCTAAAATGCATGACAGGAAAGTTATAATCACTGGCTGTCTACATGCATGGAGTCACGCTCTCACATGAATTCCAGTGGCCACGTTTGCAGGCCCTACTTGTTGCTGAATTTCAGGTTTAGACAAACAGGGTGACTCGGACGTCCACAAATGCTCGAGCGATGACATCACGGGCCCTCTCTGACCTTTGCATTTTTAAATAAAGACGTATAAAACACTCAAAGCGTAGAGGGTATAACACAACATTGTCCAACCGCAGTGCGTGACTTTTCAGCTAGGGTACTGACGGCCACATATGACCAGCAAGAATGCGACTAAAACCGCCCGAAAAAACAAAGTGACCCTCAGTGCGGGGTCCGCTCATTCACTGACCACTGACTGTGGGCAGCAGGGATGTTTGGGTGTCGCCCCGACACTGCTGGAGATCCAAGTGGTGGTGGACCAATGGAATGCCCTTGGCAAGGATGTGGGCACCGATTCTCAACTGGGATGCCCTGCTCCTGCAGTGGCTCCCAGAGTATAGGGTTCTGGGAAATACCCCCCCCCCCTCCCCCCATGGTTCTAAGACGAGCCAAAACCTCCACCCACCATTCCCCTAAACTCCCATCTCTCTGCAGGAAGTGTAGGAGGATGTCAGAGGATGTGGTTCTGACCCGGGAGTTCATTGTCTGGATGCTCTGACAATAAGAAACACACATTTACCAGAACTGAAACACTCCTCACACGTAATCAGTCTAAAACATCACAACCACAATCCAAAATAATAATAATAGAATCACAAAGCTCACAAACCCGTGTTTTGTTCAGTGTGGAGAATATTTCAAAGAAATGTTATGCAGCATAAGTCCGTAAACATGGAAGAACTGAGACCAGCTGATGGAGTTTTTGGAGGAGAATGTCCCATTCATGTCTGATGTAGAATTCTAGATGTTTGACAGTCTAACCCTGCTTTGCCGGGCTTTTTCTTTCATAATAAGTCAGGTTTTGGTGAGAGGTCTGGACTGTAGGCAGGCCAGTTCAACACCTGGACTCTTCCTCTGCAAAGTCACACTGTTGCCTTTTAGGATTGTTTTGCAGAAATATGAAAACTACATTGTCTGGATGGGAGCGTATGTTCTTCTAAAACTTTTTATTTAAATTCAGCCTGTCTAAAATGTTTTTTTTTGCAGTCCTCTTAGTGACCCGGTGTCAACTAATCTGTTACAAAAATCCTCCTCCAACTGTTTCTTATTCACACATGTACACTTTTATTGCCCATGTCCATGTTTCTTTTAGATGTGCTGCTACCATCAAATTGTACAAATTGTACAACTCAGAGTTTACACATCTGGCACGTTTAGTTTTTAGTATGTTCCACTGAGCAAAAAATGGGTTTACGAGTAAAAAAAAATGTCCCAACTTTTTAAAATTGGTTTGCATTTTGATTTGGAAGTAATTATTAAATATGATATTAAATATATTGTGGTTTTGAAGTGCGGGACAGGCAAAATAAGATACCCAAATATACTAAAACAGGTTCTGAAAACTCATAATGAATAAAACCGTGGCTCAAACAATCTGTGCTGCAATATTTGAATGGGACATTTTCTACACCAACTTCTGGGTCATCAGAGCTGGATATCCAGATGTTTGCATCACAGGATAATTTTTTATTTCCTAAAACATGATAACTGGAGCCTTCAAGTAAGATGCACACAGTCAACCAAAAATGGGTTAAAAATTGACCACATGGATTACACACACGCAGATAATGTTACCTGTCAGGTGATATAGCCTGTTACTTTGTGTGGATGTGCTCATGGAGAAACTCGAGACCACAGTGGCACCAGTTTGATTCAGCTCGGTTACTAATTGGTCTACGACCCTGCAAACCCCCTAACTCTGAGTTCTCCATCTTTCATCTGTTCCTACCAAAGATGGATGGAGTTCAGAATAAAATCTGCACTGTGCACCAAATAACCTGGTATGTGCTCAGAGCGATGATGCTGTCTCCTCCTGGTTGTTTTTAACCCCTCTTGATTGGTGACATTAATTCTGAGCTGTTTCACATTATTTATTACATAAAATTATATAAAAAGTCAAAAATCAATGAGGCACCTGTTTGTCTTTTCAGAAACTCAACCTAACTTTGAGATTGTGACACTGACTTTTTTTTTTACTGCAGGGAGAAGAAACAATTTAGCAACTTTACAGATGCATAATACATGGCCTGTGACTCACCGCCTCTTTTCCTGTCTAACCTCCCGTTACAGTCAGAGCCAAACTACACAGCCACGTTATCTTGGCTCCAGAGACAGGCCAAGTGCAGCTGGGAGAGCAGAGCAGACAGCAGGGCAGCGGTGCAGCTCTGACGTGTATGGCCTGCACCAGAAACGTTTGGGAGAAAAGAGGCACATCTCACTTTTCTTTCTGTAAACGCCATCAAACCTCAGCAGTCATCCAGCGGTTCTCAGTGTCACCTGACTCCCATCTCCTTTGTGTACAAATTGTTAAAACGGTCAAACTCACAGGTGAGTCGCTTCTCTCGGGTCTCGGGTCTGTGAGCCTCCAACGCACCGGCGTGTTCGTCTGCTGGCTGCGATCGTCCCGGCAGAGCTGTCGTCTACAAGTGATCCCTGAAAGTGCTGCCTGTGTGACCCTGAGGGAGTGAGCGGGGAGACCGACAGCTGGAGCAGATGAACACATGCAAAGGGAGGGAGAGAGGAGACGAGAGGAGGAGGGAGGGAGGGAGGAGAGTGGGACAGCCCATTCTTACCACCACCCCCCCTCTTGGCCCCCTGCGTTGCCATCCTCCACCCTCCAAACCCCCGCTCCCTGACCCCCCCAGGGCGCAAATTCCTGGTCTGTGGCCCAAATTCCAAATCTGTCCAAATCCCAAAGCTCACAGAATCATACCCCCACCCCCCCCTCCTCCTCCTCTTACTGGTCCCACAACACACCTGGTTTCGTTTAAACTAAGCCCCCCGCAAAAGCCCCAAGCTCTTCCCACTTACCCCCCCATCTATCTATTACCTCCCCCATCCCTTTTTTTCCACCATAAAGCAACTTTAGCCATTGCTCTCGTCCGATCAGACAGGCAGGGTATTTTTAGCACAGGAGAAAAAGAAGTTAATGGAATGTGAACAAAAATTGGAGAAGGGAAATAAGTGACTTTATAAAGAGACCTGTTCGGAAAATTTGTAAGCTTGTTATACTTCCTAAGAACAAGTCTGTGGCCTTCTCTCTCTCTCTCTCTCTCTCTCTCTCTCTCTCTCTCTCTCTCTCTCTCTCTCTCTCTCTTTTACACAACTAATGCATTTTGAGTCTTGGAAAGGCTTTTGTCTTGCAAAATCTGTAGTGTGATGTGACGCAAACTAGTCAGGATGTTGCTTAACCAAAGGTAGTCCTTGCTGGTGGGAGTCTGAGTCACCTTTAGGTAAAACAGCAAAGTCATCCTCATTGCAGAAAAAAAAAATTAATAAAACAAGCAGCGTTGAAATAACCGAGGGCTTCCATAACAAAAATAAATCTGAATACTTGATTTGAGGCAGCTTCTAAATATTTAGACTGAATAATTTGTTTTCTTTTTTCTGCCTAAATAAACTAGGTTTTCTCAGAGTCTCATCTGTCCTGTGTTTACGTGTAGCAGAAATGGCAGCTGTCATTACGGGGGATGTTGTTAACAATCATGTTGACACTGCCCCCCCTCCCAACCCAAGCAGGACCAACTGTGCCCCTCCTGGTTGGTCCATCATGGCCACACACAGACATCCCACACACTGGCTGGAGTCTGAGTTCATCACACGTGTGATGTGCTGATTCTATTTAAAAACCTCAAACGCTCCTTGTCAATCTCCCTAAACCTGATTCAAATCACTGCTTTCGCGTGATCCCAGTCCCCTCTTTGCATCTGGTCCCTTCATCTCGACGCCCACGAGATCGTAAATCCTGTTTGGGTGCGGGGGGTAAACGAGAACCTCTCCTCCGTCTAATGCTGCGCGTAAAACACAAAGAGGTGTTGAATGGAAATATAAAACAGAATGACATGCCAATGTTAAAACGTTTCTTTTATTCGTCAACCAAAAATTTACAGACACTGAAGGATGCTCGAGGTGCACATGAGCAATAAACATAAAAAGTAAAAACGCCAGCTAAAAGAGAAATGGAAAGGAGAGAAAGTACAACTTTAGAGAGGATAGAGACAAATAAAAAAATGGAGAGGGAAGAGGAGAGGGGCGGGGCGGGCAGCCCAGGAAACGCCTCAGTCATGATACATTTTGAAGATACAGCTTTTGATGACGCCCATGTATCTGTCCCACACAACCTGATGTCTGAGGGGCAGAAGAGAAAGACAGAAAAACGAGTAAACAGTGAGTAAATGACGCACAGTAAGACTTACGACCCACTGATGTTGTGAAATCTGGGTGAAAAAAAAAAGCAAATGAGGCAATCTTGGTCCCCTGGGTTTATTTGGGGGGAGGGGGGATCTTTGCTGCTTTTTATGAATATCTCTTTGTTAAACTTGTAGTGGCGGAGGCCTGTGTATATACCCTTAACTACATTCCTGAGACTTCATAAGTAACAAGGTAACTACAGTTTAAGAAAGTACGGGCAAGATAGGGAGACCCCCACTGGCAGAACAGAGATGTCAGTTTTGGTGACGAGTATTCCCTTTTAGGGTTCTTCTTTACGATAAAAAAACAAAATAAACTTGTCATAAAGAACATATAGAGTGGAAGATATCTGAAGACACTCTGTTCAACGCTTCAAGATAAAAGAAAATAAAACGATGAACTTACTTGAACGTGTCGAGAATGTGTGCAGAGTTGGTGTAGTGAGTGAGGTAGAGCTTTACGTCGGCGGCGGTCCATCGGTCTGAACGACACGGCTCAATAAACTGGGGGGAGAGGCAAAAATGGGGGATGAGATTACAAAACGGCCACACTGAAGCCGGCGCAGACCCGAGGATTTTTTACTTCGATCCGCTGCGAGTAAAACGTTTTAAAGACGCGCTCACCTTTTCCACCAGATCTATAAAGAAATCTCGGACATCTTTAGTGTTGGTTAACTTTGTGGCGATGTTGACTAGACCTCTGGAGAGATTCTGGCGATAAAAACAAAAGATTAAATTAGTAATATTTTCATTTCCTTTCAGCCCATAAATTAATTATACTTTCGATTTATTCTGCACCAGGAAATGTAGCTGTTCTCACCTTGAAATTAGCTTCCATCTCATTAAAAGCTTTAGTTTTCCCTCTCAGAGCTGTGCAAACCAAACTGAGAACATGAGATCAAGAGAAAATTAGATATAAAAGTGTAAAGCGGAGGAAGAAGCATATGTTTTTCAGTCTTAGTGTTTTTTACCTTTTGTGTTGATCTAGCAGATCTTTGTCAGTAATTAAAACTTTTAATTCCTTTAATTCTTGTAAAAACTCTTTATCGAGATCAACATCCATGTCTTCAACCAGGTTATCTGCAAAACAAAAAAGGACTAAGTCAGATCCTAATGAAGCAGTAAAAAGGTGTTTCTCTAACACTTGATTCGTTCTTTATTAATTTCAAATCAGTTTTCTCAAGTCATTCCTCAGATTCTAACTAACTGCATCAGGCTTTTCAGTTTCCAGAATTATATTTATTTTGCATTCAAACAAAAATGTTTAAAACCTGGAGGACCTCTGGTGGTCAGAGAGACTCACTGAAAAATTACAAACAGTATACTGCTTGTTCTCAAATAGATTTATTTACTTCTTTATTGACATTATTTTTCACAGAAATGTTAACTTTGCATCAACGGTTTTTCTGTTAAATACAAATTTAACGTTTCACCGCAATGTAAACATCTAACCTTGACCAATTAAGGTGTGACCTTTGATTAATGAGCTGCATAAGTGGTAAACATGATAAATGCAGTGCTTATATCTGATGTCTGTAAACTAGCCAAAGGAAACAACCAAACTCTCTCACCAACAGCTCCAACCGTCCAGTTGTTGATAAGCTGCCCAGCACAAAAAGCAAAGTCCTGGAAATTGAGATACTGGAGCTTTTTTTTCCCCGTCTCAAAGCGGTTGTTGGCAAAGAAAACAATGGCAGCATAATCCCTGAAACGAGCAAAAACGAAAAAGAATGAGGCCACAAAGAACAGTTTTAACTATTGTAGATTTTTTTTACTTGATTTTTTATGTAGTGTTTTGTTAAATCCTAATTTAAAAAAAACAATCACTGAAGATTAAATCTCTATTCTGTTCAATGTATGCTTCTTTTTTATTTCCTTACCTTGCAAGCTTGTCAGAGAGCAGAAAATGCTGACGGATGTTCTCCACCAGGGGTCCCTTCAGCTCTTCCACAACTTTGAAAACACGTTTGAAGTTGTCAAACTGAAATACGACCAAGCAAAAAACAACTAAATTTCTACAATGTGACTTGTAATAATATTAATGTGTACAGTCATCAGTGCATGTTCCCATACAGTGACAAAATTTGTGCGCTGTATTTGACCCACCACACGTGAGATACACCCAATGGAGCAGCAGGCAGCTATGTAAAAACATGGGCAGCAGTTAAGGAGTGTCTTGCTCAAAGACACCACAACATATAGGCATGATGGGGAGTCAAACCTGTGATCTGATTTCAAGTCATCTGCCCTACCACTGCACCACAGCTGAATCTTGTGCAAATACTACGGAGTAGTCTGTTGTTCAAATAACTAATAAACTGTCACAGCAGCTGAAAATTAGCTAGTGGAAAAGTTAAAATTATTTTACAGAAAACAAACAAAACACTGCAAGGTGGTGAGTTTTTTTTATAGCACTGAGTTCATAACAAGCACAACAAAAAGCTAAAAATTAAAAGCAGCACCCCTTTTTAAACTGAGAGCGTTCTTACTTGTCGTCTGCAGCTTTTGAGCGTCACACCTGTCTTGGCACTGATGTCGTCCAAGTCTTTCTTTGTTCCTTTGGAGAGTTTCTTTCCCAACACTTCACGCACAAATGCATCATCGAAAGTATAATATCTGAACAAGGACACACAGACTAAATCTTCACAACACGTAAAATGCAAATGTCAAATTCAACTTCCATCCTTATTTGATGTGCTTTTTATAAGTTAGATAGCTACTTGGGAGCACCACCTCTCTATGAGCATGGCTTGTCGATGGGGAGGGATCTGGAAAAGCAGCTGGTTTGCGAGTTTTGTTGGACTGTGCAGCAGACGCTCACACATCTGGAAAGTCCTGTACTGGTCCATGGTGTCGCTGAGCAGAACATCAGCAGATGCCTCAATCTCATCCAGCACTCCTCCCTCCATTCGGACCTTTACGGCATCATTCACTGTTGGATAACACACCTAGGTTAGTACATCAGTGACTATGTTACACAGTAATACTCAGATTGCTTACCTTATTCTAAATAAGACTATTAGGATTATGCTATTTGTATAGGTTGTACATATGGTGTTTCATTTAGAGTACAGTAAGAGTGCCACAGGGATGTTATTGTTCATCCACTAACTCTTAGTAACACCTATTACCTAACTCAAGTTTTGGCATCTCTTCACAGGCTTCCTGTCTATTTCTATACTGATTTTATTGCTTATTTCAAAGTAAACTTATTTAAAATTGGGCAACACGACGGCTCAGTGGTTAGCGCCGATGCCTCGCAGCAAGAAGGTCCTGGGTCCACGATCCAGACCTGGGGTCTTTCTGTGTGGAGTTTGCATGTTCATCTGGTGTTTGTGTGGGTTTTCTCCAGGTACTCCGGTTTCCCCCACAAAAAACATGTACTATAGGTTGCCTTCAGGCCTAGGCCTCCATTGAAAAAGAGATCTGTGATCTCAATGGGATTTGCCTGGTTAAACAGTAAACAGTAAAATTAAAAATAATAATAAAATAAAATAAGAAATTATTTTCTTTACATCTACATACCAGTAAGAGCAGCCCAGTCAACCAGACATACAGGTGCTGGTCATAAAATTAGAATATCATGAAAAAGTAGATTTATTTCAGTAATTCCATTTAAAAAGTGAAACTTGTATATTATATTCATACATTACATACAAACTCATATATTTCAAATGTTTATT